CGCGGGGCCCTCTTAAGCGCGGGGCCCGATTCGAACAGTTTTGACGGGGCCCCGACAGGGATGACTTAAAAAAAAAAGAAAACCACGTTAAAAAAAACACGTGGGGCTTGTACTCACCGGGCCGCGCTCCTGGTCTTTGGCAGCGGGTCCTTCACTCGCTCCGGGTCTTCGGCGGCACTGAAGCACCCACCGCCAAAGTGCCGCCAAAGACCCGGAGCGAGTGAAGGACCCGCTGCCAAAGACCTGGAGCGCCGCCGGGTGAGTAAAAATTTAAAAGGTGCCTCTAGCCAGGAAGGGATTCTCTGCCACTTGCCCCCCACTCTGGGCGACCCTGCCACTGGGCGCGGGGCCCTCTTAAGCGCGGGGCCCGATTCGGGGGAATTGGTGGAATTGGCCTAAAGCCGGCCCTGCCCGCCGGAACTCACAGCATTTGGGTTGGTTAACCAGTCGCTGTCTGGGCGGTAGAAGATCGTTCACCGTTAGCGCTGGAGGCAGGAGTAATGGGACTTCGGATGTTGCGGTGCAGCGGCAGCCGAGTTACCGAGCTCCGTTTTTACAGGCGCCTTAAACTTTTATTTTGTAAACATCTCATGGAAATGGCAAAAAAAACCCAAATCCCCAAAAGCATAGATGCACTTTGAGCACTATCATCAGTGCTTCATGGTGCTTCCTTGAACAATGAAGCGGTCCAGAGGCAGCATATGGCCCGGTGGCTACAGCACCAGACTGGGACTTGAGTTCTCATCCTAACTCAGCTGCTTAGGTGACCTTAAGCAAGTCCCGTCCCTGCTCTGTGCCTCAGTTTCCCCATCTGTAAAACAGGGATAATGATGCTGAGTGCCTTTGTCAAGCGCTTTGAGATCTACTGATGAAAAGCGCTAGGTTAGTATGATTACAGAGAGAACAACAACATTTTTACATCACCCCTCTTCGCAATGTTTTCTGCTGGCTTGTCTTCTTTTTTCTTTGGCCTCATTTTGCAAGAAATGTGCAACAGGCTGGGCCCTGTCGCGTGGCCACCACGTGCCTGCTGATTCCTGGAATATCAGACAGACACCAAGAGGGTTTGTCTACGCAGCATTTCATAACATCTCCAGCCATCACGGAAAATACGTGCCCCAAACTGAGCCTGCTGCATTTTAACGTGCTGATGAAGCTGGAGCGGCTGGGTGATCTTTGGGAATGTGTGTGGAGATTCTTTTATTATGTTTAATAGGTTTTCTCTGGAACGTTTCACCATAAGAACACATGTGCTTGCTTAGCAAGGGCTGGGGTTAGCCCTGAGCTGTGGGCGATCACCCTTGTGATAGCCTCGGAGGAGAAAGCAAATCACAGGAACAGACCTGCTCAGGCAGTCTGGCTTGCTGGGGCACTCACGGTGGAGGCAGGGAACTGTGCAGCCTGGAAAACAAACCTGGCTGGGAGGGAGAGAGAGATGTGGGTCTCCGACCAACAGCGGTGACGGCTGGGAGCCCAGAAGCAGGTGCCCTTGCTAGACTACGGAGGGGGAATATGGGCGCAGTTGCCCTGAACTGTGACAAAGGCCATGAACCTAACCTAGAAAAGACTCAGGGAAGAGCTGCTGAACATACACCCCCACACACACTTTTTAGCTTATGCAAGTGTGATGAAGTGGGAATTTTCTGTAATATTGTTATGATGCCAGTGTGTGCCTCAGTTTCCCCTATATGCTGCATTGTTACCTGGTGGGCAGAAAGGGACAGTTTACTCTCAGGGCAGGCTAAGAGACGAAGGTAAGAGCATCACCTGGCTGTCTGAGCTTGTATGGGTCATTAAAAAAGGACGGGCCGAGGCTGACCCCATCTCAAAAGACAGTGGCAAATCCAAGCACCAGGGCATTGACACCTAGCAGCCGACGCCCCAGAGGGAGATGGATTTCCCCACCTCTCCGCAACATCCCCCAGCTTGAGACCAAAGGATGGGCAGGTGTGAGGTGGGGGGATAAGCATTGGCTGCTGGAAGGAGTGGGGGCTCTCACCTGGAGTAGTCAGGGGGACAGCCACAGCCCAACTAGGGGGAAGAGACACCCCCCCCTTAGGGGCCTGGCACACTAAGAGGGGTTCCTCTAAGTGACTGTCCCAAAACTGGGGGTACAGCATAGCTCCATGCCAGCAAGGTGTCTGCCAGCCCAGAACCTGGGTCTCTAAGGTGACAAACCCCTATCTTAGCCCCTGCACGCTGCCTTTCAGTGGCTAGCCTACCTCGAACACAGAGCAAGAAATAGCCCCCAGGAGGAACCCCATCACTCTTCTTCCGCTGCCTCATAACTAGCTCTGGGATAGAGTCGGTCACATCCTCTCCACTCTACTGCAAAAACCTTACCCAGGCTCTTGGAGAATGTCTCCGCAGTATAGAAGGTGACAGCCAGCTGTGCTGATGCTGGCAGACGAGGGTCAGAGTTAAGGGTTTGTATCAGAGTACAAGTCTGATGCCGGCAGGGTACATGGTATATTCTGGTATCAGTTGGGGATGGGCAAGGGGAAAGTCTTGGGTGGCTGAGGTGTGCCCTGCCATTAAATGTGGTTTTTCTTTGATAATTTGAGTGACAGACCTGCCTGCTTCCCCCTGCATCCAAGGGTTGTTTGCTCAGGCCAGTTTAAATCCAGATTGCACATTAGCACAGACGGAGCTGCCTGGCAACGTTAGGGTTACCATACCTAATAAATAAAAAAAAGAGGACCCTCCACGGGGTCCTGGCCCTGCCCATTTCCCACCCCAGCCCTGCCCCAAGTCTGCCCCTTCCCCACCTCAACCCCGCCCTAACTCCGCCCCCTCCTCCCTCCCACTCCCAGCCACGCGGAAAGGGCTGCCCAAGCGCTACCAGCTTCACGGTTTGCCGGGCAGCCCCCAGACCCTGCGCCCCCGGCCGGCGCTTCCCCAGCGCAGCTGGAGCCCGGGAGGGGAAGCGCCCAGCCAGGGGCGTAGGGTCTGGAGGCTGCCCGGCAAACCGTGAAGCCGGTAGCGCTCGGGCAGCCCTCTTGCCTCTGGACCCTGCGCCGCCGGAGCCCGGGAGGGGAAGTGCCCAGCCGGCGGCTGGGGTCCACAGGCAAGGGGGCTGCCTGAAGCCCATAGCCGAAGAGTCAGGGGAGGAGCAGAGCTGCCATTTTCCCGGACATGTTCAGCTTTTTGACAATTCCCCCCGGACGGGGGTTTGAGTGCCGAAAAGCCAGACATGTCCGGGAAAAAGAGGACGTATGGTAACCCTAGGCAACATGTAGTGGTGAGAATTAAAAACCCTACAAAGCTGCTTAAAAGGCCAAGCAGGAAATGCTTGGAGTTGCTGCTACAGAGAAGCAAAAAACACCCACCAAGTCTTAGCATGTGGCTCCCTCTGCCTTTGAACCATGGAAACAATGTGGAGAGCATTGAAGCTGCCCCTGGTTTGGAGAAGCCAGCCCCCAGCAAGGGTGGGATTGCTCAGGTCACAGAGAGCTCAGGCTGGGCACAACTGAGTATCTCCATATTAGCTAGGGAAGCCCAGCCTCAGAGGTGCAAAATGGTTCCCCTGAAGTCACAACATAGGACAGAAGCCTGAATACAACCTGAGTACCAGTAACTTGTGCGTGGGGGGGTCCAGTCCACTCAGTCACCTGGGTGAGACGGCAACAGCATCTGAGTCAAGTGTGTGTGGGGGGGTGGTTTCTGCCAGAGCATGAGAACAGAGTTTAGGGAGTCTGTGTTTGAGGATGGGAAAGACAACCTGCTCCTTACAACTTTCTACAGGCCAGAGCCTGCAGACTCCAGCTGCACCCACTGTCCTAAGGAGGGGTGATCCCTGCCATGCTAGAGGAGATGACGGCTGTATCTGGCCATGAACTGGGGCTGTGAAGAAGGTCTATCACGTCACCTCTGGCTCCAGCTTGCATTAGGGGCCTACTGCAGAAAGCCACAGCACAGGAGAAGAACGATCGCTGGGGTATTGAAGCAGCAACACACAAGTATTACAGAGTAACTAGAAGGGGAGAAAGATGGAGGTGAACGGGTGAATCCAGTCTAGATGATGCCACAGCCTTCAAAGACATTTCCCCTGTAAAGACAGCAACTCAGTAGATGCTTCTATCCAACCTACCCCCAAAATAGTAAATTAAAATCCCTACTCCCAGAGTTTGACCCCAAAAAGGAAGAGACATAGCCTCCGTGAAGATCACTGCGCCATTGCTAGCAGTTTTACACAGTAGGCATTCCGATCCTCCACTTGCTTGTGCTACCTAATCCCACAAGGCGAGTTCAAGACAGAAGTTTAGTGCTGGCCAGAGACTACAGTAAGGGACTTCTAGCAAACCCTAGGAGAGGGCTTGAAAGCCAGGATGGAATGTGAGGGGCTGAAGGTGGCCACATTCTGGTACCTCTGTCCAAGGAGAGAGAGAAGGGCACAGTTACTTGAACGTCAGCGTTGGCTATAGATGTCCTGAATGCAGCATTAAGGGGAGACCTGGGCCAGATGCAGTGTTAAGGAGGCTACTACACACACCAACAGAAAGTGACAAGTTTCTGGCCTTTAGGAGAAAGAGTGAGGCTATGGAGGCAGATAAGAGCAGTTTAGGTACGGCAGGAGGGCACAACTGCTCTTTGTGGCCATGGTGTAGTTTGGAGGCTTGTAATGGGATTGCTCAAGAGGCCTGCAGTTCTTTGGGCAAGACCATCTAGCCTAGCACCATGGGGTCTTGGGCTCTGCCCAGCATTCCTAAGCTCCGACTAGAAGGCAAAATTACCAATAGGATTTGAGTGAGGAGCGCTATTTCCTTGGGAACGGCTTAGACTCCTCTCCTGGGGGGTAGGAGGAGTCCAGTGTCACCAACCCTTGTCATTTAAAGGGTCATGGTTGGACTCTGAAAAGGTGGGAGTTGGGTTTAAGGCAGGAGATTTTAAACCCATTGTAGGGATTGTGAGTGGGGCGGGGATTGTGGTGGTCACCTCCTCTCTAGTGAATGATGAGAAGAGGAGAGGGAAGGTGCTTACAGAGACACCAGAGCATCAGGTGAATGCCAATACATTTTATTGTGAAAAAACCCAGTTATTCTACAAGATACAAACTGTTAGTGGCACTTACAGGAGGGAAAATTAGCCCGAGATTTCTCTCTATTGATTTTCAGTTACAAGCCCCTTGGAAGATCAGTTCTGGGACAGTGCAGCACCAATTACGCCTTCTTTGCAATGGCAGAGTCATTCCTGCTTTATTGGCTAGAACTGTCATTTCACAGGCTGTCAGGGTTCAAATGGCTTTACAGCACTTTAGAGCATGAGAGGAGGAGGCCTGGACATTTCAAACAGGGGGAATAGATTTTTTATTTTAATAATGATCCCTTTTTTGATTGCATTTAAGGATACAGCTGCCCAGGGAATGGGCCCTACGAGGGTCAGGTTCTGCAACAAACCCTACAGCTAATCCAGGCTTTGCACTCCCGTTTGCAGTGCTCAGGGGCTGTTATGTAGTCAAGAGCCTGGATAACTGAAATCTTACAGGTCCGTTAGCTGCTGGAGTTCAGTGCTATTGCCATGAAGGTTGTGTCCTCTCCCTGCCCTGCTCTGAGCAAGCCCCTAGTTAAGGGCACTTTACAGCCTCCAGATAGAGTTCCCATTGAGACACCCTGGCTTTGCTTTGAGGCGATGCTTCTGCCATGGGCTGGAGTTCACCTGTGGAAGGAGTCACCCAGAGGAGCTAGAGAAGGCACAAAAGATTGGCAAGGAAGAGAGTAGAGTCTCAGAAGTGAGGCCAACAGGGAGTTCCACACACAGCCAGCTTATCTACATTAACACCCTGCCACCCTTCCCCAGATGCAGGTGACACACAAGCCCCCCCGTGTCCACACAAGTGAATTGTATACAAGTTCTTTCCCTCACAAGAAGCCAACTGCAGGTATACGGAGCCGTCTAAGGGTCCTCCTTTGGCACGGAGGCTTGCTGAGCTGTGCTGTCCATCTTCTCATCTTCTCCTTGCTGGGCGGTGCAGCCAGCCGCTTCCCCCTCCCCATCCTTTCCAGCCGCTGGAATTTCTGGTAGCTCTACCAGCCTGGGAGCAAAAGGTCCCACAAGCCAAGGCAGGGGAGCATTCTGCACCACATAGTCCAGCAGCTCGTCCATAGACTCCCGGGCCTTGGCCACCCTCTCCCGGCTCTGGGTCAGGACGGCGCTGGACAGATCTTGGAAGGAATGGGCAGCGGAGAAGGACGCGTGGAGCTCTTCGACGTTGTGACGGAGCTGCTGCACCTTATCCTGGATGCTGGTGGGGAGGCCTTGGACATTGGGCATCAGGTTCAGGCAGGTGGTTTGCAGCTGTTGGGTGATGCCACGGAACATGACCAGTGTCCGAGATTCCACCTGCCAGGGAAGCAAGAACACCCATTAAGGGAAGCTGCTTCCCAGGATGTGTGACACTCACCCTGCCTAAGAGGTCACTTTGCAGTAGCCTAGGACACCTCCCCCGCCGCCCTCCATGGCAAGATACCTCTGGCTGCGCAGTGTCGGAGTCCTCTTTCCCCTCCGACTGCCTCCTGCTCCACTCCAGCCACATCTGGTGTAGTTTCTCCTGGCCGTCATGGAGCCTCTGGTCCACACCCTGCTTGACATGTTCAATCTGGCAAGGGACAGAGGGAACAGAGAACCAGAAGTCAAGATACTTGTGGTCAGCAGCAAGGGAGGAGTCCCCCGGCCAGATCCTCAGCTGGAAGAGGTCACTAGCTTGCCTGAAGTCAGTGGCACTGTGCTGACCGACACCAGCCGAGGATAGTCCTCGGTCACCTGTGCATGGGCCATGGATTGTGAATCAAGATGTCTGACCAGAGAGAAGTACGAACCCATTAGGATTTGCCTTAAGCGCCAGAACAAAGTGACCTGGGAGGTGGCATGGGGAGATCTGCGTTCCTACCAGTTCGATGGTTTGGTGGAGCTGGGACAGAGCCTCCTGGGTGCTCTGCCGGGCATGCCTCAGCTTGCCCAGGGAGTGCTGGTAGGCTCGGTGGCGGAGCTTGGTGGACAGGGACCCCAGGCGCACGAAGTAACTCTGCTGCTGCTTCTGCTGCTCCACGGACGCCATGTCGAAGCCTTCCACAGACGTGGCCAGTTTAGCTGGAGAGAACGAGAAGACGGGTCAAACAGCCTGCTGGCGAAAGTCCCGTGAGCAGAGCAGGAGATTTCTGCCCTGCGTCTGCTCTGCCTTCAGCAGCAAGGGGGATACTCCTCCAGTCACTGACCGACTCAGGCCAGCATCCTCTCCAGCTCCGAGAGTTAAATGGGACTTGCAGGAGACCCACGGTCACCAGCCCTGGGTTTGACTGTTAGTGGGGTCCATGTGAGAGGAGTCTGAGGCCACCCTCCCACCCCACCCTTCTGGGTGGCTACAGCACGTGCTCTCCCTTTCAGCTCTGCAGTGCTACCAAGCAGCTGACGGTGCAGAGCAGGACGGTGCCACAGGGAAGCTCTGGGCCAATACTGATCAGTTGGCTGCAGGGATCAGGAACCTCTGTGGTACTGACACCCGAAAGCAGCCAAGAAGGGTCTCCTCCACCTGTTAGGTAGGACAGATCATTGCCAGTAATGAATGGGTGAGCAGTGTTCACCCATGGTCCTCAGGCCCTGCAGGTTAACCCATCTCTTCCCAAACAGCTGAGAATCAGCCCTTCCAGTTAGAGGTTAAAGCTCAGGCCACACTCAAAACCTCCAGCAGAGGCAGACAGGACCCAACATTCGGTTCTTTGGATCATGCAACACCCCAGGTGAGTCACAGGGACTGGACCTGAGACCCCAGGATCTGAAGTCTGGGCCTCTACTGCCCAAAGAGTCAAGACCCAGAGGTCTGCTAGGCCAAAGGTTGTTGCAGGCTCAGGTCTATCCTGTTCTAGTGGCTGGGACACAGAAGCCACCCTGGGCAGGGTGACAGACGGTCAGAGTTGAAGCCGACGGTGCTGCTCTTGCAGACGGCTTACAAGCAACACCCCCTACTCCCACCCTCTTTGCAAGTCACCTTGAAGAGGGGCATTCAGTGGTGCCCGACTGTTCACTGTGCAGGAGGGAGAGCGCCTGAGCAGAAGCTCCCATCCCTGCAGCAGGGCATTATCTGCTGGCCATACTAGCTTGTGGCCTAAACACAATGGAAGGAGAAGGGCTCCTTTCACAGCACCAGCATCCTTGACAATCCCTACCTCCTGCCAACTCCCAGGCTCCCTGCGTTTCTCTGGGAGCACAGGGGGCGCTCAAGCCCGGAGTTGCACAGTAAGGTCTCTCCAAATGGCTCCTCGACAGTTCTGCCACTCAGGTCCAAGCTGGGCCTAACTCTGGCACCTGTTGGGCACAGTTCGTGCCAACGGGCACAACACTCAATAGCTTTTTAGCTCTGACCGTGCATGGCACCAAAAGCTGCATTTGCTACTGCCCTCGGGTCGGCTTTCCAGCCGAGTTTAGACTGCTGCTATGAAGAGCAAGTCTGCATTTCACAGCCTTGGAGAAGCAACCCCCATCTTACTCAGCCCGTGGACCTGGAGACAAGCGTTCTCCATTCCTCTGGTTCGTGCTTCAAAGCCCATCCAGCCCTGGGACAAGGAACTAGATTCTCTTCCAAGCCAGGCATCAGAATCGTTAAGTCCCAACGCAGACAGTCTGAGTGACGCATGAACCAGAAAGATCCCCGCTGGAGTTCTGACCCCAGGTGGAGGCTGCAGGGCCGGCAGTTTGGATAAAGGGAGGCATCGCTTGTGAGCGGAGAGATTTGATCTGGAGTCACTGAGCAAGGTCTAGAACTGCACTTGCTTTGGGCAGCAGACCCAGGAAGTCTCGCCTGGCTCTAACCAGGCCCCAAACCAATACAGTTCCAAAAGGCGTAATGTCAGGGCTCCAGTTTTCTACCCATCCCTGGCTGGCTTGGTGGGGGTGCTACCAGTAGGATGTTACGCTGAGCGCCTGCAGATTGTCAGGGGACAGGGAAAGGAGTTGAGGGCCCAGCAACCCTGGAAGGAGTGTAGTAGATTCTCAGGTATGTGAGCACAGTAGTTTGATCACAAGAGCCACGACAAACCCTCCCCCAGGCCTATGTTCATCATTCCATGCCAGGGGCAGAGAGTCTGACCTTCGCTTTGGTTACAGCAAGGATAATGGCCTTGTTCCCACCAAGTCATGCTGGGCTAGTGGCCTGCACAAGAGGCAGGCCCATTTACTAGCTCTCTCCCCCAGTAAAAGTGGCTGTGTTGGAGGGGAGGCTGCCAAAATGGGCCCCACCTAGAACAGCACAAGGCCAAGAGCCACCTTTGCTTAGGGCCCCCTATTGGCCTCTCACTGCTGCAGCCACAGAACCAACATAAGAATTAAGGCCACCTACTCCTAGTGGAGGGACACATGTGGCAACCCTAGGAGTGCAGAGTCGCTGGGGTTGTGATTTTCTGATAGTTAGAGCTGGTAAGTTACTGATTTTTGCTGGGTTCATGGCAGTTCTGAACAACTGAAGTGTCTGTTGAGTCACCAAAAATGTCAGCTTTGGTTTGGCCTAAAGAAAATTTGAGTGGGGATTCGAACTTGGGATTCCCCTGTATCAAATGAGTGCTACCCCTTAGCCTGGTAGGCAGGGCACCACAAATACATCCTCCAGCTATTTTGTGACTGGCCAAAATTACTCAGGTTACATTCACAGCTAGTTTTGGGTTACCCAAACTGCATTTTTGGTCAAGCCATTAGGCTGAAAGTTTTCAGCCAGCTGTATTCAGCATGCACTGACCTAGTTCTTGATCCGTCATGGGGAGGTAGTGATCCACCAGCTCTTCTGATTTCCCCAGCATGGCATCCACTCCAGTCACCACCATCTGGCCCATTCTGGACCCCATGACTGTGTTCACGCTGCTGGTCACCACTGATTTGGTCATCTCCATGCTACCCTGGACAGCTCCTTTGGCCATGTCCACCACCCCGGTCACGGCATCCTTCGCTCCGTTGACTGTGTTGGAGACGGCATCTCTAGCACCGGTCACGGTGGAAGACACCAGCTCCTTGGTGTCAGCCACAACCTAGGATTGGGGGAAGCATTCGGTGGCCAAGGTTAGTATTAAGCCAGCAGAGAAGAGGCGGCACTGGTTAATCCTAGGACTACTTTGCCTTCCCCATATAAATAGGCACCATTCACCCAGATAAGAGCCTGGAGCCTACAGCAGTATCAGTCACTAGGTTTTCATCTCCACCTCCCTCTGGGATGAGTTTTGCCGGTTATTGGCTAGCTCAGTGCCCAGCCAACTGGCCTGCCCAAAGAAGCTGTTAGATCCAGGGAGGAGAAGTTGAGTCTTTTCCTGGCCCCCCGACCCCTTATCCCCCAGCTGCCATCTCTCTGGACTGGTCTGTCCAGGGAGTGTAGACCCCTTGTTTCACATCCCTAGTTCTCCAAGCAGAGGTGCTCACCTTTTCAGTTGGCTGTTGAAGAATTGGCAGCTTCTCCTCCAGTTTATCCAGCCCCTTGCACGCATACTCATTCACTGTTGCAACTAGACAGAGAGAGAGTTTGGTTGCCTTATCCCCTCAGTTGCCTGGAGCAGCAGAGTAGGTTGGTAACTGAGTCAGGTTTCAAGGGGCACTGCCAAGCAGTGCCAGGTTTGAGGAGGGGAGGGAGGGGAGGCTGCAGGGCTGCCAAGGAGAACATTGGCTAGTCCAAGTTTGGGAAGGATTCTAGAGCATGAAACAGACCTCGAGATCAGAGCTGGGTCAGCGGTAGCTCTGCAGAGGGGTGACGTCTTGCCAGCTGCACTCAAGGCAGCCATGAGGAGTGTATTAGGACACTCCATTTCTCAGGTTATCTGAAGCCTGATAGTTACCCCAGAGGCCAAGAGATGTGATCAGCCTATGGTAGAAAACCAACACACGCTGCCATAGCCTTCACTCACCAGTATTCCTTAGTCCTCTCCCCAAGAACTCAGCATGTGGGACTAGGGACATCACCGTCTTCACACAGAGATGGCTCCAGCCACAGCTGACCTATTGTGGTCAGGGAGTCCCCAGCAGCTCCTAAGAGCTACTGGCATGGATTGGACACGGGTGTGTTGCATGGATCATTACCAGCTGCTGTTGTAGCTGGTACATGAGCGACTAGCCTACAGCTGACCTGACCAGCACCATGAGCCCATCTCTGGTTTGGTATCACCAAGTGACAATTGCTGCCTTGGAACATATGAATGACCAGACTGGGTCAGACCAAAGGTTCATCTAGCTGAGTGTCCTGTCTTCCAACAGTGGCCAATGCCAGGTGCCCCAGAGGGAATGAACAGAACAGGTAATCAAGTGATGCATCTCCCATTGCCCAATCCCAGCTTCTGGCAAACAGAGGCTAGGGACACCATCCCTGCCCATCCTGGCTAATCGCCGTTGATGGACCTATCCTCCATGAACTGGGCTGGTTCTTTTTTTAAACCCTGTTATAGTCCTACCCTTCACAACATCCTCTGGCAAAGAGTTCCACAGGTTGACTGTGCGTTGTGTGAAGAAATACTTGCTTTTGTTTGTTTTAAACATGCCACCTATTAAATTTCATTTGGGGACCCCTAGTTTTTGGTGCTATGAGGAGTAAACAACACTTCCTTATCTACGTTCTCCACACCAGTCATGATTTTATAGACCTCTATCATATCCACCCTTAGTCATCTTGTTCCCAAGCTGAAGAGTCCCAGTCTTATTAATCTCCTCTCATATTTAACAGAGATTTAACTGAGGAGTTTGTTTGCTACAGAAGCTGCCCAGCCTCTTGAGTTGGCCGAAGTCCCAGCACGCTAGCTTAGTTATATTGGATACAGTTTGAACGCAGGAACCCAGCCAGGTGGAACGTTTCACAGCAACTCTGACAGAGCAGGATTTAAGCGATAGCCAGTAAGTCCAGCCTTCTCCTCTGTAGCCAGAAGAGCAACACAGGAGAAGAGGGACACCCCTACCCCCAGCAAGCGAGTGTGGGTTACCAACAGCCCCCTTTCAGTTACCTAGACTTCCCCTGAAGGAAGTCAAGCCTTCCCCAGCTACTAAGCCATACAATGCCCCAGGGAGTTAGGCAAGAGTGGAACGACATGCTCCAGTACACAGCATGTCAGGCCACGCTTGGAACAAACCCAGGAGTCCTGTTCCATCTCCCTACGCTCCCCTGGCGGAGCCAACCTCCCTGCCCTGGAGGAACAAAGCCTTCCTTGGCCTGGTCTCCCAAGGTGAAACCAATTCCCTTCCCCACCACTGCTCCGAGCCAGCATCAATACCAGCTCTTTTTGCAAGATCTGGGCTAGAGGCCACATGTGCAGGCTGTGAGAGCTACTCAAGGTCACAGAGGGAGATTTTAACACCGCTATGAGCATGGTGCAGGGGGAGGGTACGTGCTCTGGCTTCGGGACGCTTCTACTCCCTCCAGAGCCTCAGATCTTTGCAAGGGCATCCGACAAGGAACCCTGCACCTGGCCAGCTCAGCTTGGCTGCAGGCGCCACTGAAAAGCTTTACTAGTTTCTGGTTGCCACGTTGGCCAGTTGGTTCTGGGCCACCTCCGCCCCACACATCTGTAATTAGTAAAGGAGGCCACAACAAGGCCATTTTAAATGCAGGTTGCCCCTGACAAAGGGCACCGGCTGTATGTCAGGGTGTTTGACTCAACAGCACCACCATCCGTGTGTTCCACTGTTAGACAGGCAGCTACAGCCTAGTGACGTGTAATGAAGTGCTTCAGACTGTAGCTTCTCTAGGGTCAAGCTAGCACGGCCGTCACATAGGTCACGCCATACATGGTGCCCGGAAGTCTGCAGCAGACCATACCAGGCTTCTTTGTAAAGGTGCCTCCTTGCTACAGAGGCAGAGATAGGCTGGGCACCTCACCTGCTTGGTAGGACTGCAATAGACCTTCTGAGAGGAGTTCAGGGTAGATAAGAACCTTCTAAAAGAGCTGTGAAAGTCTCAGCTGAAAGGTTATGCTTCCCAACACTCCCTCAGCTACCAGACCCATGAACCAGCATGGCTCTCCCACCCAGTTGCAGTTCACTAGCTACTCCAGCTTCCCTGGTCCCCCAGTCTGACCCACCACCACGCTGCCATCTCATGGCTCACTCACTCTGTGGCTCCAGTTTGGTCAGGATGGGCTGGGCGCCACCCACAGCCGCGGCGGTGATGGTCTTCACGCCTTTCTCCGCCACGTCACAGACGGATTTGATGTACGGGTGATTCTCTTTGGTGGAGGTGTAGGCCGTGGAGACCATGTCATAGGTGGAGCTGACCAAGGGCAGGTTGGCCACCCTGCTCACGACATTCTAATAGAGGACAAAACAAACAAACAAACACGTCATCAGTAACAGCCAGTTGGAGAGGGTTGGCTCCATGTCTTCCCTGATGCTGAATTCTTATTACTAAGGGTGGCTAGACTTCCTAGCAGCACTGTGAGCTGGAGTAGCCCTGTAGGCACTTCTATGCTCTAGGCACCAGTGACATCTTCAGCCCTAGAGCATGGCCTGATTTTCCAAGCCTGCCAAGCTCCTGTACCTCCCATTGACTTCAGAAGGTGCTGAGGACATTTGAAGATCACAGACCTCCTGAATGATGACCTAGAGTAAAGCAGCTGAGGTTAGGTTTCATTTGGAGGTCTTGACTGAAGAGACTAGGTGCAGGACACATCCATACGCTGACTTCAAATTAACCCAGATTATATTAGTGAGTAGAGTAGCATCAGATCTGATCTTGCCACCACAGCAAGCTTCTCTAGGCTGCTTGATAGCTAGGGGGACAGCCAGGTGCCTTCATTAGTAAGTCATGGTTCTCCCCTGTTGCATGGATACAGGGGATTCAGTCTTGGACACACACTTATATCACCACCCTCCAGCAACGGCATCAATACCATTGCCAGCCTCGTAGCAAGAGGTGGGTCTGAGCATGCCAGGGAGTGCATTTTAGTGCAGTGAAGTACCCTAAAATCTGGGCGTACCTACCTGTTGATGCTGCTCTGGCCCCTCGCTCTGGGGGGAAGTCTGGTTTGCAGCATTTTCCTCAGAAGACATGATGAAATCAGACGTAACTGGAAGATAAAAAACCACTGTTGCCACACAGAACTGGAACGGTTACAGCCAAAAGAGAAAAATGCTTGAGAACCTTTGTCTTCTGCAGTCTCCGTGCATAACTTAATAGTGAATATGCTCACAAGCATGGCCCAGCACTTAGCAGTTTCCCCCTCCCACCTGATGCAGTTGTTTTAGCCTGTCCTCCCCGCCAGATGCACAGCAATGTCTGTATTTGTTGCCCAGGCTTTCCCAGAATGCACTATCCCATGATGCCTCAGAAGCTGCTACAAGGAGCGGAGCATTTGCAGGGGTTTCATTTCCACCTGACACACAGCGCTAAGGAAACAGGAGACTGGCTAACAAGTCAGACCCAGCTCCACAGCTGAATATCCGAGTTACAACCCAGCTACAACTGGGCAGCATGTTCCGGCTTTGATCACAAGCAGGGTTGGAACAAACATGGCTTGGGAGCAGCATGTCAAGTGACCCATGAGACAAGCTTGGTTAAAGCCTACAGGAGCAACAAGCACATACACCGATAGCTCATTTGGAGGAGATGCCCATCAGTGAGGTAGCAACCGAGTACAAAGGCTCCCAATTTGAGCATCAGGACCACGGAGGGGGAGATCAGCAGCTGGGAGAGTTCTCTTTTTGATATTTCAACTTCTGGCTTTGGTTTCATTAGTTTGCACCAATGGCGCATCTGCAGCCCCTCTCTAGAACGCCCTCAGCTACTTCTGTGATGGGCTGCCGGACGAGACCCCCAGCAGGCAGCCCTGTTGCCAGGAGAAGGTGGTTCGGTTTCAACACTGCTCTCCTCATCAACCCACTCAGGAGCCTGCTTGGTTAAGCAGGCAAGGGACTACCTTTGAGCCACAGCCGAGCTAACGCCAGGCTACAGCTTAAATAAAGCCAACCTGAAAATACAAATTGAAGCAGGATTTGTCCATACTCCTCTGATGGCCCGAAGACACTCCCTAAGCCCAAGCAAATACCCCTTCCAGGCCTGAGGCACTTGCCCATCATTCAACCAAAGGTCTCAACCATTTTTGTTAGCGGTTCACGTTAGCCACTTGGCAATGAAACATCACAATCCATTTCGCTTGCGTTACAAGCCGTTCCAACCTCTCGGAAGTGGTTAGGTTGTGACGAGGCTTTGACCTCCCCATTAAATTCAGTTTAGGACAGAGCACTAGACCTCCATTTCTCCATGTCATTTAGTCCTGCATAATACCTACATAGGGTTGGAAACATCTACCCAATCCAGGATATAAACAGGAAGAGGTGGTGGTTTGATGGATTGGTTGTCTCAGCCAAACCTGCCCCACTCAGATGTACTGCCCCCTAGAGGCATCTAAGGCTCACAGCTGTTTCTGAAATGCCCCCAGCAGTGGCTGGCTTCCAAAGTCCAACCCTGATCAATGCACCTTATGAAACTGGTCCTATTGGCTTCATACTTTCTTCTTCTTATAAGTCACATGGCTACTTACTGTCTCAGTGACCCACTACTATCGGGCACAGAGCACAATACCACGGCTACTCAGACTTGTTAATGGGACACTGTCCATTTAAAAGAGCCATTCATACAACCATTCACCTATTGTTACACTTGAATGTTACTACAGCTGGAAGTTTCTAGAACCCATCAGCTCTTTTGTGAATCTAATCCAGCGGTTCACAAACTTTTGTACTGGTGACCCCTTTCACACAAGAAACCTATGAGCGTGACTCCCCCCTTATAAATTAAAAACTTTTTATATTGAAACACTATTATAAATGCTGGAGGCAAAACAGGGTTTGGGGTGGAGGCTGACATCTCACAACCCCCCACATAATCACCTCGCAACCCCCTGAGGGGGTCATGACCCCCAGTTTGAGAACCCCCAGTCTAGTCTGAATGGCACTGTTGGAGGAAACAAGCCGGCTCTGAGTTTATTTTGTGACGTTGACAGTACTTTATGTCTAGTCAGTTTCACCCATTCTCCCTTCTGATCTGTCAGTTTCCTCTTCTGTTTGGGTAGGGCCCTCCCCCGACAGGGCAGATAGAAACATTTAAGAGTAGGCAAGTGCAACACCATAAAAGCTGGGGGGGGGGGGAGAAGAGGGGGTGCTCAGGAACAGACACAGCCCCCTCAGCGACTTTAAAGAGTTAACTAGATTTTGGTTTTCCGTCTCTTTAAGAACCCCCAGCAGGCTCATCAGTTTCAGCCTAAAGTGAAGGCCCTTTTCAGCTGAGGGCTTGGGAGAGCCGCAAAGCCTCACCAACTTCTTTATTTTTAAATGATGATTCAGCAGAAAGTTGGTTTGGATCAGCTCCCTCCCTGGCCATGTTTACAACAATGCGCCTCTCCCAAGGAAACAAAGTGAAACTGATCCATGTCACACGGACACTGAAGTCATGCCACAGAGGAGAAAAAGAAAGTTAAATGTTCATCATGAAGTTTCAGTAACCGAGAAGGCGAAGCTGCTTTAAGGGTCTGGTTTCTAGCCCACTCCTTTTAAGACAGCCGATACAAGCCGAAGGGGGCTGGTTTGGGGCGACGCTGCAGGGCGGAGGGGGTTGAAGGGAAAGCCAGTGGGAGGCACAAGTGACTTGGTTGGAGACTGGACTTCTTAGACTAGCAACACGTGGATGCAACAGACAAACCCCCCCCATCTAACCAGGCCCAGCAGCCAACTCCATTTTACAGGGATTGCCTCGTACACCCCCAGCCTCCCCCCGAACAAGAAGCGTTTCCCAGGAGGGCAGCTGCAAGCAAGGAGGGTGGGCTCTGCACACGCCCTCCCCCCACACGGAGCGCCCCTCACGCCAGCTAGCCAGGGTATGCAGAGCCAGGCCCCTGCGGAAAGTCGCCCCTGAAGAATGTGCGGGGGGGGGGGCAGGAGACACACGGTAGGGCGACCCTCCCCATCTAACTCAGACCCCGGGGAGCCCCAGCCCTGCCTTGGGGGCAGCGCGGCCAGATCCGCCCCGCCCCAGCGGGAGCCGCCTCTGCAAGTTTGCTGCCAAGCCCCCAGCGGCCGCCCCCAGCTCGGGGACCCACGGGAGCCCCACTCACGCGGGGGTCCGCCAAGACCCACCTCTGCTCCGATCCGGTCCCTGCGCGTCCCCCTGGCCTGAGCTCTCAGCTGATATAAAAAGGAGAGGGACGGACTTGGTGTCTACATGGCAGGGAGCGGGAGCCAATCAGCGAAGGGGAGGTCTCCGCCCCGACCAATCAGGAAGGGTGGAACACAGAGGAATGGAATGTTGCGGGCTCGTAGCGGGCGTGGGGTTGCACACGTGCGTTGCGATTGCGGGGGGCTTGCAGGCTGGGGCTGGGGGGGGCGGTATGTGACTCACACTCCCTGGGCTGCCTGGCGCACGGGGGTTTCGCTGTTGGACGGGCTCGGGGTGGGGGGAGCAGCGCACCAGGGACGTTGAGGGGGTGCTGGAGGAGAAAAGTGTGTGTGTGTGTGGGTGGGGGGCAGCACCGGAAGAAAAGTCAGCATGGGGGGGCAGGAAGGAGGGACTCTACATAATGGGGAGTGAGTGAACCATGGAGTGACAGGTTCCCTTGTTTTTCTGATGCAGTTTTCCTAGCTGGAGGCTGGGATCATGCGGCGCATACCAGTGCAAATCAGAGGTAACCCCACTGGGACGGGGAGCAGCATTTGGCCCCGAGACCTCCCCACGCTCCTGTTCAGTTGCCTGCACTCCGATCTGCCCTGGAGTCTGGCCCACCGCAACGCTCGCTCTGGGCATCGCATGCGGGACCCATGCCCGTTGCTGACTCGGCCTACCTGGTCGAATGGGAGGTGGGCAGCAGTGGGGGCTGGTACAAAGGCGGTACGGGGGGCAGAGTGTTGGTCACATACCAGGACAGCCGAGCACGGCCATGGTTGGGAACTGGTGCTATAGGGGCCCTTTATGCAACTCTAGCTACATTCGTGGCCCAGTAAAACGAATGCACTGGCTGTGTAAAAATGATCAGAATTGCCAGTTACAAGGAATTGCCTGACTCCTCCAAGCTCCCAGGAAATAATATCAGGGAGACCAATGATGAATGACCACCGCCAATCCTTCCCTGAGACAGGGCTGCCTTTCTGCCCAAGCCACCCTGAGATAATGGATGCGTGGGACAAGGAGAGAGCTTCAGCTGGTCAGCCCCACAAAGCCACATGACTCGAGGGGCCGGCTCTGCAGAAGTGCTGAACACCTGTAGCTCTCATTGACTTCGGCTGCAGATGGGAGGTCTCAGCGCCTTTGAAAATCAGACCCCTAGAAATCAGCATGAGCCCCTGAAAGGAAGGGAAGCGCAGAACAGGGGGGCTAATGGAATAACGGGGATGAGATTAAAGAGCCGAGACCCCACCTTGCATTCAGAACTGCCCAGCCCAGCCCAACAGCCTGAGTGATCCATGAGATCTATTTTACTGCAGCAGATCTCTTGTGATTCCCCCACAGCCAGCCCTCGGGGCGGGGAAGGGACGGGGGGAGACACAGTCACCACGCAAGGTGCAGTAGGGGGTGAGCCCAGCCTGGCACGGTGTGAGCACTGAAAATCTGGCTGTGCTGGGAACATCTCCGAGCCCAAGAGGAGGGTGATGTAATGGACGTGGCAAATACAGGAGGGTTTTGTACCGCTCTTTCCTCTTATTCAGGGCTAAGTTGCCATGGCAACTCAGAGAGCAAGTTGCGTCTCAGCCACTTGAATACACACACAATGTCTTCTGGAAAGAGACCAAGGGCTTCCGAGCCACACTCAACACTCACGGACTTCAAAGGGGATTGAGGGCTCTCGGCACCTGGCAGGATTGGGTCAGCGTCGGCCGTCCTGTCTGCGGAGAATGGAACTGCTGTGGTTGAGCCAAATACAGCCCTGGTGTAAAGTGGGCCCAATCCATTGACTGCAGGGTGTTGTTTCCGCTTATACCAGGCTGAATGGGCAAAGTTGAGTAATTTTACAACCCTCCCCTCCCCCAAATTGGAGTATAACAAAGTGAGTGAACTTCCCTAAAGTTTGGAAGGGGTCCGATTCAGGAGGCCTCATCGTGTACAAATAAACCCAAGCCACGGAGTTCAGATCTGAGCTCCCCCATATGGGTGGGATGGTTTGGGTTCAGTGCTTTGCTTTGGGCCCATCTCCTGTATGGAAGTATATTGATGGGATCAGCAGGGTGTGGGGGGGGAGGGGTTTGTTGGTGACACATCAGAGGAACTGTGGTGCACGTAGCACATGCATGACCCTCCAGCCAGTCATGTGAACCTAAGTGACTACAGGAAAGTGAGGACTTCCTCTTTCATTAGTGTGTGTGTGTGTGTGAGAGAGAGAGAGAGATTTTATGAATTTGATGAAGTGCCAGTTAGATTTTAAAGCTGGAATTTAACAAACTAGATTTGCCAATTTGATAAGTGACTTAGGAGGAGAGGCTGAGGGAACTGGGATTGTTTAGTCTGCAGAAGAGAAGAAGGAGGGGGGATTTGATAGCTGCTTTCAACTACCTGAAAGGGGGTTCCAAAGAGGATGGATCTAGACTGTTCTCAGTGGTGGCAGATGACAGAACAAGAAGCAATGGTCTCAAGTTGCAGTGGGGGAGGTCTAGGTTGGATATTAGGAAACACTATTTCACTAGGAGCGTGGTGAAGCACTGGAATGGGTTCCCTAGGGAGGTGGTGGAATCTCCATCCTTAGAGGTTTTTAAGGCCCGACTTGACAAAGCCCTGGCTGGGATGATTTAGTTGGGGGTTGGTCCTGCTTTGAGCAGGGGGCTGGACTTGATGACCTCCTGAGGTCTCTTCCAACCCTAATCTTCTATGATTCTATGATAAGTGCTATAACCAATATCGGGATGGAATTTAAGTCGAATAATCCCTTTTATTGAGTCCAGGGCTTGCTAGCCTACTGATTTTAAGGCTGGGTTCTTTTCAGATCTTACCTTGGGGACCGTATTTCTCTGATCAGGACAGTTAGTTTTTCTTAACCAATCAAGAGTGTATTAATTCACCCAGAACCACATCAGTATATAACCCATGGTTCACTGATCAAGTGCAGGTACAACAAATGTTCTAGGCATGTACTAAGCATAAACTACACATAAGTCTGTAAGCAGTTACTGTAGACCAGTGTGAGGGCTGTGCAGTGATATCAAGGAACAATGCAAACACCAGGACTTCATATTGCAGTTACTCATCACCAGTTACCAATTCTTTAGTATCGCTAGTGCATTTATGACACTTCCAGTAATTCTCCGAGGAGTAAGGTTGCACTTTGCCTTTCAATCGCTCTTATGTGCGTGTTGTTTGTAGAGTTTGGTGTGAAAGGGACTAGTTTGAAATATCAAAGGCAATTGCTTAAAGTTCGAAGTGCTCTTAGGCCAATGTACTTGGACTGACAAAGGAGAAACATTCAAATAATCATAAATATATAGCATGGCTTGGTTCAGCTTTTCTCTAAGTGGGGTCCGTGGACCCCTGGGGGTCCCTGAGGGTACCCCTGGGGGTCTGCAGGCTCTGCTGATCAACTCCTCCCTCTCCTTCCCAGCGCGTCCTGCATGCTAAAAGTCCGGTGACGCACTGGGGCTAAGTCAGGCTTCCCATCTGCCCTATCTCCGCGCCGCTCCTGGAAGCGGCCGGCACATCCCTGCGGCACCGGGGTGGTGGTGGTGTCTCCGCGTGCTGCCCCGAGTGCCAACTCCACAGATCCCATTGGCTGGGAACTCCCCCTCACCTAGGAGCCACTGCCAGAGGGATATTGGTCATTTTCGGGAGCCGCCTGAGGTAAGCGCTGCCTGGCTGGAACCTGCACCCCCTCCCGTACCCATACTCCCTCCCAGAACCTGCACCCCCTCCTTCACCCCAGCCCCCTGCCCCAGCCTGGGGAAAGTGAGTGAGGGTGGGGGAGAGCAAGCGACGGAGGGAGGGGTGTGGAGTGAGCAGGGCGGGGACTCGGGGTAGGGGCATGGCCTCGGGGAAGGGGGCAGGGCAAGGGCTGAGCAGGGGGACTTGGGGGTCCCTGAAAAAATTATAAATCAAAACGGGGGTCTTTGGGTTGCTAACGTTTGAGAACCACTGGCTTAGTTCAAAATGAAAACCCAAACTACGGTTACCGGGTATGTCCGTGGGGAGAGTGCAGACTCAAGGAGGGAACCGGCAGGGACCGATTTGAAAGAACACACAGAGAAATACAGTCTCTGAAATGAAATCACACTGCTTCTGTCCTGGTAACCCAGGTAGGGGAGAGCTGGCTAGGAGGCCGGCCCACGCGTCTGATAGCACTTCTGCATTCTGCATTATTTGTGGATTCAGGGGACCCATACGGTGTCCTCTTGGTTTATATGCTGGTTTCAGAACTAATGGCTCTTAACTTCTCTGCTGCTTCCGTCCCTAGCCAATAGACGGCGTTGTTGTATAACACATGACTTTGATCCTTTTCCTTAGAGGATTCATGTGGTCTATCCGTTTGTTTCTCTTTTAGCCCCACTATGAACTGGAATTTCCTCTCTCTTTAAGCAAATTCTTTTAATATTTCAAAGATACACCCTGGTTAGGTGCTTGTGTCATAGAATCATAGAATCTCAGGGTGGGAAGGGACCTCAGGAGGTCATCTAGTCCAACCCCCTGCTCAAAGCAGGACCAATCCCCAACTAAATCATCCCAGCCAGGGCTTTGTCAAGCCTGACCTTAAAAACCTCTAAGGAAGGAGATCCCACCACCTCCCTAGGGAACCCATTCCAGTGCTTCACCACCCTCCTAGTGAAATAGTTTTTCCTAATATCCAACCTAGACCTCCCCCACTGCAACTTGAGACCATTGCTCCTTGTTCTGTCATCTCCCATCACTGAGTATTCCTCGGTGTTGTGTTTCCTTCTTGTGCCAGACCATTCATATTGCTTCTCCAGTTCTACAAACAAAAATCCTTCTAGTTCCTCTGAATTCTCTAGACATAGTTTGCCCGTTCTTGGATTATATCTAAGCATTTCACATTCTTTGGGGCTTACAATAGAAGAGACGTTACTTTGAAGGCTATTCACTTATGGAAAGCCTGTGTCTTGGATTTCAGTCAAAGCAGAAGCACGTACCGCTTCACATTTGGGGTGAAAGCTGGGGGGTTGGGTTCTTCTGGGGTATCAGGAAGTTTGGCCTCGGGCGCCTTTGGTTTTTCTGGGTCCTGCAGTAAATGATTCCTTAAGCAGCTTATGTGATT